TCAGTGAACAAGTACATAATGTCTCTATATTTCTCACAATACACATTTTGGATTCTATAATTTGAAACTTCTTACCTGTAGATTTTGTCTTAGAAAATGAGGCATCACTTCTTTTCAATTTATTAATTTGATTCCATAATCTCTCAAGTGAAGACAATTTCATTTGAGTTAGAGAAATTAAATGAATTCCTTCTCTTCCTTAATACGCATTAGTTTAGTGTGTATCTTGTGATCTAGGCACAATTCACAGCTAAAATATTATCCCAAGTGGTAGGCAAAAATGATGTTCTAGGTTGAGATGAGTTCAAGTACCAACTATATTAACGCCTGAATTTTCCCTGAAACTCCAATAGCAGAATCAGAAAATGTTCAGATCTGGAAAGTACTGAACAACACTTGAGCCGCTGAAGCAACTCCCAGGTCCTCACCACACAATGCTCCTCCACCTTTTTAAGAAAAGGTTCTGGCATGAGAGGGATGCTTGTGACATACCCTCGGTGTCATTAAGAACAGAACCAGAATACAATGGCCAGCTCATTCCAGATGAGTGCTGAGCAACTGCCAGTGAGCAATCATTACTTCGACTTTGGGTAAAAAATAAACTTGTTTTTTGGGTTCAAATGTGTTATTTTCTGTTGAGTGACGTAAATCTTGTCCTAAGTATGGAATCAAAGTTGAATATTGTCATTTTAAAATATGACTTTTTAGCCAGGTGTGGTGTGTTTGCCTGTAATCCCAGCATTCTGGAGGCTGAGGTAGGAGGATCGCCAGAACTTCAAGGATGACCTGGGCATGGCTCAGCTTGGGCTAAGGCTGGCCTGAAGTATGAAGCAAGAACTTATCTAAACAAAACAAAACATAGCAAGCCAAAAATGAACAAACTTTGACTTTTAAAATTTATTTATTTATTTATTTTTTGGTGGAACCTGGGATTGAACTCAGGCCCTTGCACTTGCCAGGCAAGTGCTTATTCTACTGAGCTTTCTCCCTAGCCCCTAAAATTTAAAATTTATCCTTAATTTCTTTCCTATTTATTTATTTATTTATTTATTTGATATAGGGTCTCACTCTGCCACTCAGACTCCTAGAGATCCTCCTGTCTCAGCCTCCCCAGAGCCGGGATTATAGGTGTGCACAACCACACTCAGTCTTGGTGGCCAGCTCAGTGCAGTGCAGCCCTTCATGTGGTACTGGGATAGAATCCTGGTCCTTGCACTTACCAGGCAGATATTTAGACTTCAAAGATATCTCTCTAGCCTCCCTATTTATTTTAAAGGGGAAATCCAGACCTAACTGGAGCCACTTTGTTCAACAAAGCAGCAGCTATTTTATTTTCTGCCCCTGAGTTTAGCTAAACCATATGATTTGTTATCAAATTGAAACTTCTGTGAAAAATTTTCATAGGGTAGCAAGTGCTAAAAACAACTTTGTTATATGCAGCTATGATCACCACAAGATACTCATTGTACTATGGCTTTCAGCTATGCTTATCTTACTTTTTAAAAAAATAAATTCCACTTGCCACTTAATGAAAAAGAAACTTTCTGTAATCAGTGTCTCAGACTTTGGAGGCTACTCTGTGGTATGCCAGCGTTAAATAAAATTGCTTTTTTTCTTCTGAGCTCCTGGCTACTGTTGACCCAATTTCTCTGCAATGATATCTTTTTACTCCTCCATTCACGCCCTTCCTCCCCCTCTTTCCCTACCTTCCCGTCTCCCTCCCTACCTTTCTTCCTTCCATCATGTGCAGATACCATGTGCATCATAGAAATGACAGCATATTATAAAGAAAATTATTACCAGCTCTGTAACTTTGCGCATCTTCATTATTTATCATTTTCTCTTAAATTCTTTGCAATTCTTCATTTCTTTAAGCTAATTTTACTTTCATTGCTTAATGCATTATTTTTTTATTTATGCACTCTTGTATGCTAGTATAGTATAAAGTTTTCTTTAAAACTTTAAAAAAAATTATCTATCTACTTATTTAGAGACAAATTCTTGCTATATAGTCCAAGCTTTCTTCAAAATTCCAATCTTCCTGCCTTAGCCTACTGAACATTGAGATTAAAGGTGGGTACCATTATGTTTATGTCTGTTTTATTTTTAATTGATATATATTTGCATTTACATGTACAGTATATGCAGTACTATATCACTGTATGTATATAACATGATAAGGTAAAAATCAGCAACTAACATTTCCATCATCTCACATATTATTTTCACCTGTTGGGATCCTTCCAATCCTTCCTTTCTATTCATTTTAAAATATATAATTGTTTTACACTATAATTATCCTATTGTGGGCCAGCCAAATAGCTCAGTGGATTAAAGAACTTGAAAGCAGGTGCAGGGGCCAGGGGTTCAATCCCCGGGCCTGCTGTTCAGGCCCCAACGCTGGGGCATGCTGAGAAGGCAATTGAGACTGGGTGTGGTGGTGTACACCTGTCATCCCAGCTCTTGGGAGGCTGTAAACAGGTGGATCACTATGAGTCTGATCTAGTAGTGAGATTCTGAATACCCTGTAGACCCATCCCTAAAATACAAAAAAAAAATCCTATTGTGCTATATGATTTAGAACTACATCCCAACTCTATATTGGTACCACTGTCCACCTTCTTATTCTTCTCCCATTTTCTAATGACCTATACTTTGCTCTCTATTTCTGTGTGATCAGCTTTGTTTAGCTTCCATGCATGAGCAAAGTGGCATTTGTGTTTTTTCAGTACTAGAGATTGAACTTGAGACCTTGTGCTTGCCAGGCAGGTGCTTATGCCACTGAGCTATATCCCCAGCCCTGTGGCATTTGTCTTCCTGGGTCTGGCTTATTTCACTCAATATAATGTCCTCCAGTTTAAACCATTTGCAAAATTGATGCAATTCCTTTCTTTTTCTGATAGAACAGTATTTCATTATGTATATATACTACATTTCAAAGGTCCATTTGGTCATCAGTGGGCATCACAGCTGTATTTTTTGGGGTAGAGATCTAACTCAGGACCTTGCCGTTGCTAGACAGGTACTGCATCTCTGAGCCATACCCCCAGGCCCTCAGTTGTTTATATTGTGAATAATGCTACAATAAATACAGGCAGGCATGCTGGGATCTCTTTGACATAATGATTTCATTTTCCTTGTGTACATAGCTGTTGAAAGTGACTGAAGCTGGAAATTGATCATATGTGGAAGAGCAGGACAAGGCCTTATTGCCTAGAGCAGTCAAACCATCTCAGTCTTGATAAAAACCTACTACCTGTGCAATTTCGGGCATTAGTTTCTAGGCAACCTTGTGTCTCGTGATACTAACTTTACAAAGATATGCACAAATGCCACTACTGTTCTTTAGGTCTTTTGCTCATCAGGCAAACAGACTCGACTTGAACTAAGCTCTTGTGTCTTGTCTATCTTTTCCTCATTCTTGTCACAGTAGCTCCCCGGGGAACATTGAGACACTGAGTCCCTACATTTGCAACACGAACACCCAGTAAGGATAAGTGGGCAGCAAGAACATTTTCCAAGCGTGCACGTAAGGGGAGGGAAGAGAATCGGGTAGAGTCAGTATTCAGCACAGGCATACATTAGTACTGGAAACATTAGGTATAAAATGTGGGGATGGAGGCTCATTCAGGCAGAAGTGGGTTCCCTAGAGCCTAAC